AATAAACCTTTAAGATTTTTGCCTATTTTACTAATTCATTTTAAAATTTTCATTATTTTATTTCATTTTTTTAAAATACACCTCTCATGGCTTGGCTTGGTCTGCAGCCCGACTTAGCCCAGGCTTGACTGGCAGACCAACACAGCCCCTGGCATGGCACGATACGGCTCGGGCCTAGCTACTTGGGCCAGACCAGTGATGTCTCCTAGAGGTAGCAAGCATGGCCTGGACTAGGCCATAGGCCGACACGACACAACCTGCCAAAAGCACGGGCTGCCAGCGGGCCATGCCGTGGTGGCCTGACATGACCCGATTTACACCTCACATTGCTTCTCAACCCCCTTACTATATATTCTAGCATTTTGTTGAATGGATTTTAAAAGTACAAAAAAGAAAAAAACAAACATAGGGACATGGGCATATCCTTTAACACCCCTCTCTCTCTCTCTCTCTCTCTCTCTCGATCCAATCCTAATGGTGATGACTAAGATGAAAGACATGGTGAAGATTAAGGTCCTATTCCCTTTTTAGGAAGTTACTTACCCGGGTAAGTGTTTCCTAGGAATACTTATCCGGGTAAGTGCATTTACCCATTCTCTTTTATTTTCCAACAAATAAGACAATGACCGTTTTAGTGGTACAAAGCCATTATTAAAAAGGGCAATTTTATCCCATCCAAGTATTGATAACTCTTCCCCTATGTGAGAAAGTTACTTATCCACCAGAGAAAATAAATTTTCCATATACCCTACTTAAATCTGAAGAAAAGAACATGGGTATGGATATCTTGGTCATAATAACCAAAATCTTTTGACCAACTTTTCCTTCTCCCAAAAATCCAAAAAACCAACTGGCCTCACTTCTCTTAACAAGTTAAGGTTCCATATGGATTGGAAGAGGTTTTGGTTTTGAGATTAATTTGGGTTGTGAAAAATTTCGGAAGCCAAAGGTGTTCTTTTTCCATTGATACCTTATGATATTTATATACAAATGATGGAGTTCCTTGCTCCCCAAAACTTTCTAAAAACAAAGGTCTTCCTAATCCAAAAAGAAAAGCAAAACAAAAAGACTTCCTAACTGTACAGGTAACATACAGATTCGGGACTCTCACGAGTCTTATCTTCGTCCAATACTCCCCCTCAAGGTGGTGCATGAGGATTGCGAATGCCCAGCTTGGGAAGGAAAAAATCAAATTGTTTTTGTCCAAGAGCCTTTGTGAAAATGTTAGCAACTTGTTCACCGGTACGTACATAGGAAGGCGCAATGGTGCCGGCTTCGTGCTCATTGCGAATGAAATGACAATCAACTTCAATATGTTTGGTTCGCTCATGGAAGACAGGGTTCGCAGCAATGTGCAGAGCATCTTGATTGTCACAAAACAAGCATATAGGTTGAGAATGAGATATATCCAAAGACGATAGCAGACCTTTCAGTCACTTCAACTCACAACTGGCAGTAGCCATTGACCAGTATTCAGCCTCGGCAGAGGACCGGAAACTGAGCTCCGGCCATGTAATGGTTAAATAAATCAAATTGCCCGCAAGACGTCGATATCGTTCAGGGACATCCAGGAGTGCTCCGTTAGCAAGGGCAAGTTTATGATTCTAAGTAATAGGAAAGGGAGCAGGTTTGGACCCCAATAAGCCAATTTCTGTAATAATATCAAGTGCATATTTTTGTTGGCAAAGAAATATCCCTGATGATCCGCAAGTCACTTCAATGCCCAAAAAATATTTAAGAACACCCAAGTCCTTCATGTGAAAACACTGGTTCATATACTGTTTAAATTTGTGTATGAACTCCGGGTTATTCCCACCATTGATTAAGTCATCAACATAAACTAGGACGTGCAAGACAAGCCCATTCTTGCGATATGTAAATAAGGAATGATTGGAATAGGACTGTTCAAACCCAAAAGTTTTCAAGGCAGCACCTAACTTAGAGAACCAGTTCCAGGGGGCTTGCCACAGACCATACAAAGATTTCCGAAGTTTGCATACCTTTCCAGTCCCGGAGGCCGAAAAACCTGGAGGAGGTTTCATATAGACCTCCTCATGGAGATCACCGTGTAGAAAAGCATTGTGGATATCCATCTGATGCAATTCCCAATGTTGGGCTGCAGCAACTGCTAAGAAGGTTTGAACTGTGACCATTTTAGCCACAGGGGCAAAGGTCTCGTTGTAATCAAGACCTTCAACTTGAGTGTTGCCTAGGACTACCAACTGTGCTTTAAATCTTTCAATGGATCCRTCAGAGTTGTACTTGATTTTGTAGACCCATTTACACCCGGTTGCCTTTTTTCCAGGTGGGAGGTCTTCCAAGGCCCATGTCCCATTGTCTTCCAAAGCCTGTATCTCTTGGCGCATAGCCTCGCGCCACCGAGCATCAGTCATTGCCTCAGAGAAACGAGTAGGTTCTCGGCCTGCAGTAATAGCTACCAAGAAATGTCTGTGTTTCATAGAAAAATTATCATACGTCACATAATGAGATATGGGATAAGGAGTACCTGAGGACTAAGATGGTGCAGGAGAAACAACGGAGGGATCTAAACGACTAGCAGAGTGTGTGACAAAGTCCTGTAAATAGCTGGGGGTCTGCTTTTCTCGATGTCCACGGCCTAATAACTCCGTGGTGGGCGGAGGAGCAGTTGGAGTTTCATTATTTCTGCAATCTGTATGGCTCCTTGTCTCATCAAGAGGACCTACTTCCTCATCATTACCCATGTTCTAATGTCCTTCTTCATCGATCGTGTGCTCCCTCCTGACTTCTATATGTGGTGACTCAGATACCATGTCAGGAGTGGTCGCAGAGTTCGGTGGTTGGATAGTCCAAGGCAACCCAACATTTTCCTTGGCTATGGGAGGACTATTTATTGAGGGTTGATGTTCCGGAGTGGCAAAGGGAAACTCGGCCTCACTAAACACCACATCTCGTGATATGAAATAATCACCAGACTCAAGATTGTATAATTTCCATCCCTTTTTCCCAAAAGGGTACCCAACAAAGACACATTTCTTAGTCCTAGCGGCAAATTTGTCACGGTCCCGAGTATACGAAAAACACAAGAAACCAAAAACTCTGAGATGTTTATAAGGACTTTGTCCAAATAGCATCTCGTAAGGTGTTTTACCACCAAGAAAGGTTGAAGGTGTCTGGTTAATCAAGTACCCTGCGGTCAAAACACACTCACCCCAGAAATTGATCGGAAGATGTGCTTGAAACCTGAGTGCTCTGGCCACATTCAAAATATGACGATGCTTTCTCTCCACATGACCATTTTGTTGTGGTGTTCCAACACAGGAAGTTTGAAATAAAATTCCTTGCTCGTCAAAATATGATTTCAAGGATTTAAACTCTGWTCTATTATTACTTCTCACCAGCTTAACCTTCTTATTAAATTGTCGTTCAATCATTGCACATAAATTTTTGAGTGTTCGACCAACTTCACTTTTTTCAGCCAGCAAATAAATCTAAACCGCTCGAGAATAATCATCAACAATTGTCAGAAAATATACAGCACCACAAGATGCAGGCACTCTATAAGCACCCCATAAGTCACAATGAATCAATGCAAAACAATCAGTCTTTATTGCCACTTTGAATAAAAACATCTCTAGTTTGCTTTGCCTTCAAATAAACATCACAGGTTTTGTTCTTACTATTACTGATATTAAGAAGCAAACTAATCGTTTGATAAGAAGGGTGTCCCAATCTCCGATGCCACAAAACGCATGATCCAATTCCATTTGTCTTGTAAGCACGAACCAGCGCCACACCCTTGAAGACATAGACCCCATCAAGTTGTTTACCTGCACCAATCAGAGTCCTCGAGATGCGGTCCTACATCACACATAACTTATTAGTAAATGTCACAATACAATCTGTGTCACAAAGTAACCGACTTACTGACAATAAATTACAATTGAGTTTTGGGACATATAATACATGCAGCTATTTAAAATTATTTCCAAGTTCAAGAGTGCCTTCTTTCACAGCCTCGGTGTGTGCACCGTTGGATAACCTAACAGGACAAGGTGTAACATCATAGGTGTCGACGGACACATTTAAATTCCCTGTCATGTGATGCGACGCCCCAGAGTCAATAATCCATTCAGTGGAATAATTCTTACCAGAGAGTTTTTCATTAGTCCCGGTTTTGTAAGCATTAAGCATGCTTACAAGAGTCTGCCATTGCTCGTCTTTAAGCCCGCTCAGTCTAGTCTGGTCTCTGTCAGTCATAGCTGCATTAGCAGCCACCTAACACCCCGCTGATGACTGAGCAGCATGAGCTTTTGCTATACCTCAGCCACGTCTGTCAGAGGGTCCACCCCCTTGTCCTCATCCTACTCCATGCCTGGTCGACGTACCACGGGGTCTGTCTCCCCACCATTCAGGGGCATCCAATTAATTGGAAGCAATTCTTTGTCGAGCTCTCACCATTCCTGTCGTTGTTGGCAGCCATGGTGACCGATCAGCAAGACTCGTCAGCAGTAATATCAAGTTTGATTCCAAGAAGACGATGGACGATCCTAATGAGGCTCACGAAGAAATYAGAGTACATCAATATCGGTGTCGTTGAGCTTTACCATCTATATTCTTGAAAACTGGTATCGAGTTCTTGAATAAACAGGAAGAAATAGAGGAATGTCATAGCACAAGAACAAGCGGATCACCACCGTAATCTTTGATTATCCTCTACAGAAGACGCCAAACTCATCCAGACTCTTCCGTTTGCAGCATCGAACTTTTGAAGAGTCCGCTCTGAGCTGCCAGAATAAGGCGGAATACCTGAATCATCGATTGGCAGGAATGAGCTTAGTTTATCATAGTCAATGAGCTTCGGCTGTTGCTTTTGTTGAATATAGTGGCTCGCGCACTGTTCTGATCCTCCTTCAAAAGTAAAAGAACCAGGATATGTGAATAAGGAGAGACCCAAGAGATGGAGATAATAAGCTGTGGTCGGATCAAGATCTGCAGTAATAACCGTTGGTTGTGCAGCAATGGTGATCTCGAAGATGGAGAAGACGACATGGATTAGAGGAAAACCCATCGGCCATGGAAAATATGGTGTTGTTTCACTGGCCAAAATCAACCACCATCTCTTGCCGCTTGTGATAGTTGTGAAATCGTCTGGTTACTTTGTGTCTAGATCAATTCGTGAGGAGAGAAAGATTCTTACCCAACTCCAAGACTGCTCACAAATTATTCACTGCTATGGCGACTCCGTCACCTTTGAGGATGGTTTTCCTATTTACAATCTATTGCTTGAGTACGCTTCTGGAGGCAGTTTACACGACCGGATAGTGTGTTCCGGTGGGGGGTTGCCGGAATCGGAGGCCAGGTGCTACACTTGCTCAATCCACAGAGACCTCAGTCATATTCACAAGTGTCGCTTTGTTCATTGCGATCTCAAACCTGAGAACCTTCTACTCGTGCCCAGCAGCTTGTCTTCTAATAAGGGGTGGAGTTCTGTCAAGATTGCCGATTTCGGGTTCTCTAAGAGGGTTGGAGAAGATATGCTCTGTAGGAAGGATGGGATGATGTTGAGGACCACGCCTCTTTATGCAGCACCTGAATCGATTAACTTCTGTTTGTATGAGTCTTGCTCTGATACCATGAAAAATTTCGGAAGCCAAAGGTGTCCTTTTTCCATTGATACCTTATGATATTTATATACAAACGATAGAGTTTCTTGCTCCCAAAAACTTTCTAAAAACAAAGGTCTTTCTAATCCAAAAAGAAAAGCAAAACAAAAAGACTTCCTAACTGTACAAGTAACATACAGATCTGGGACTCTCGTGAGTCTATGCTGGACTCTCGCAAGTCTTATCTTCCTCCAATAGGCTGTGGCAAAAAAAAAAAAAAAAACAAATAACAAAAATAAGAAAAAGCAAAACAGAAAGTTTATTGAACATTGGGTAAGAGAACATTTGCATTATTTTTATTTTTATATATTTTTAAAAGCCATAAAAGCAAATCATTCATTATTCTCGGCATCCATGTCTTGTAAGAAGAGACGCTCCAGGAAACCGCCCAAAGGGAAGTAAATTTATTTTAAAAATGAAAACACCAGGAATATAAATCTTTTTCCACCACAAGTCTATGTACAGATTGACGACCCATTTGAAATATCACAATGCATTTAATTTGCAAGGAATGCAAAAAAAAAAAATGAATGCATGATAGAGCATATATAATAGTCGGTGGGTGTTAGGTGCAGACCCATAAATAATCTATATGATGCCAATATCTTATTGATGTGATTTTTCTTTCAAATACAGGCCATTTTCACAAGGGGTCTCTGAATGGTCGTGTAATTACAGTTGCAAGAAAATGTGATTTCGGAGACACAAGTATGGGAGACATAAGTATCAGTACAGCGTACCAAGTAGCAGTAAGTTAATGGTCAATATATTTCTTGATTTTGAGGGGTTAGGTGAAGTCCTTAAATATAAATAGGTTTTTATTCTTTAATATGACCTTTCACCCAAAAGCCTATCGGATATGGAGCTGAATAAGCATATAGGCCCACTTGTACGTTGTGCTGAAATTTAATTAATTATATATAATGGGGACGATATGGATTAAACACTAAGTATGTGTTTTGTTCTGTGGACGCTTTGTGATAGGGGTTTGTTAAAACTCTGTCATGTCATTTTCAAATCAGTATTTTTTTCATTATGTTCATCCATATGCATTGATATTCACAAAAGTGGGTTTTGATTTACATGTGCACCAATTGTTTGGGGAAGCTTCATTTTAATGCTTCCCCCAACGGTTGAGCAATTATTCACTGCTCTGCTAATACARCACCTAATGACACCTAATTGTCACTAAATGATTTATCAAGTACTTTTCTCGGTTTTGAAGACAAATCAAGTATAAACATTTATTTGATATAAACAGAAGCTATATCAAACACATACTAAATCACTTGGTCAAATAGGTTCTGATACCATCTTAAGCAACATTTTAACCTACTAAAAGCTTAAACTATAAGATGAGGTCCCTGAATAGGCTTTTAACCTCCAACATCCACTACACAAAAGCATGGTTCAAAGTATTGATGCAATGCAATTAAAAGGGGTAAAGGGTATTAACTGTTGAATATTGCCATTCTGGCATAAATCCTTATATTTAGGGTATTGAAGACCCTAAGGCTGTGTTTGGTTGCAATGCAAATAAATTTGTATTGATGCAAAACCATGGCAGTGCAAATGATTTGAGTATAAATTCTGGCCTATTTTTGTTTCAAATTTTAGTTTATTTTGTTTGATTGCAATACAAATAAAGTAAATTAAGACATGAATCAGAATAAAGTAAAACCCAAAACAAAATTAAATGAGAATTAGCATTTTTTCATTTGCAATCCCATGCATTTGCATTAGTGCAAATAAAATTGTACTTCAACCAAACTCACCTTAAAATCCAATAGGTATACTTTGAACCTTGCAGTAAAGGGTTAGCTGATGAAATTATTACTTGATGATGGCAGGGATACTATCGTAGATGCAAAGTACAACAAACTGAAAAGGATTTCTCTCCGGTCTAAGTGGAGAGGATTCCAAATCATGCTGCCAAATTTGATGGATTCTTCTATGATTTTCATCATGGAACTTGATGAGAATTAGATATAAAGCAAATGTGTGAAAGTAGGAAAGGGGAAGTACCTTGGATTAGTGAAATTGTAAACTTATGTAATGTAGTCAAAATCGCATTCTACTCCGAGGCAACCACTTAAAAATAATCTAATTTATAGATATTTTATGAATAGGATTATGGAAATTTGGGGTATTTTAGGAATTGGATTATGACAATTTGGRGGTATTTTATAAATGGAATTGTGGGATCCTAGGATTATAAGAATATGAGGAAAAAATTAGTGATATTTTAAAAGTCATGTTAAATCTACTGATAGTTTACTAATTTATCAATTGGTTTAGGGAATTATATGCAAATTCCATCCCTTCCTCGTCCCTGATTTGGAGCAAAAATATTTTACCCATCCCCACCTTGTCACTTCCCCATCCCTATTTAAGATTCGAGAAAACTTGCCCTGTTTGGAGTGGGTCATGGTATTATTTATGTTTTATGTGAAGGGATGAGAGATCCATCCCATGGACACCCAAAGATTGCGGAATAAGGGGGCGAATTTCAAAATTTTTTCTCTCCCTTCAACTGGGAATCACATTCTCTATTTAGAAAATCATATTTTCAAGGATCATTCTTGAACCATAAACTGAACCAGATCTGAACCAAAAAGGAGTAGGAGAGAATTATACCTGATATGGAGAAATAATATCCCTCAATGAAGGTGTTCACGCCCAAGGAATGATCCAAATACTGCTCCCACTGAAGATGGCGCAGTGCAGGATGGAGCAGAATCAGCAGTGTTCTTCTCCAAGAACTCTGTCCTTCGCAAGAAATAGCAGGATGGCACGTGAGCACAGCTTCCTATCAATTCTTCCTCCAAGAACTGATGTCAAGATCAAATCTTGACTTCTCCCACAACTAGAGATCGAACTAGCAAACAGGGCGGCAAGAACAGGGAGGCGGCAAGAAAGAATTCTGTAGGGATGCTTAATTCTTCCTTCTTGATTTCAGCACTCAAGAGGATCTGAATGTGTATCTTCTTCTTTTAGGCTGTCGCCCCCTTATTTTGTTAATCCTAAAAGATCAACTCCTAATCCCATTAGGAGCTGCTTATCCAAATCATATTTGGATCAGCCTTGTTTTCAGGTGATAAGGATAAACCCTTATCTTATCTATAGATTAGATTAGCTTTCTCCTAATCTCATTAGGATGTTTCTAGATCTGAATCACATTTAGATCTGGACTCTCTGAGTGGATAGGATCAAGACCCTATCCTGTCTGATAATCTATCTCAGAATTTGCCCCATAATTAACTAAATAATAAGCCCAGTTCGAAATGGGCTTTAGGCCCATTAAGCTTATGTACTCACTTAACCTTCCTAACTGTTGCCTGAAAGAATGGTAAGATCCATCTAATGGACGCCAAAAAGGTTGCGGAATGGGTGGGCGAATTTTAAAAATTTCCTACCTTCTCCCAACTGGGAATCACATTCCCTAAATTTAGAATACAATATTCTAGGATCCTACTTGAACCATAATCGAACCAGATCTGAACCAAAAATAAAAGGGAGGAATATACCTGATCCGAAGAAGCAATATCTCCCAAAGTTGGTGTTCACGCCCAAAGAAGAAACCAAGATCCGCTCCTGCTGAAGATGACACAGCTGTGGATGGAACGGAACCAGCAGGGTGTGTCCTACACACTAGATCCTTCGCAAGAATCCTCTAGAAACTCTGAACACCGAATCTTTTTCAGTCTTTCCTGCAAGACTGAT